ACAGATATTTGCTTTATGTTTCCAGCTTCCGTTTCTTTCTTGGTTCACCATGTGCTGGTGTTAATGTTCGTTTATTTTCCTTTTCTCTTGATAAATTTCATGAGTAATTCTTTCTTTGTCTAGGTACTCCTGGAGAGTTTGGGTATCATTGATTTTAAAAACATAAGGTGCAATTTTCTCTCCTTGAGCTTTCTTTAGAATGCTTCTATGGGGCTGTAATTCTTTGGTTCCATGGTAGATTTAATGTAAATCAGTTTCATATTAATATTTTTATATAAAGATAATCCTATATTAATCATATTATGGTTTATATTTATCACATTCTAGTATGATAAAGTAAACATTAAATTAACAAGTCCATAAGTTATGAATGAGCACCATTGTTTATTTTTCAAAACGTCATCAGTCATACTGGTCAATTTTACAGCCACATCATAATCAGCCTCTCATTTATAAAATGTTCACTTTGTCTAGTTTTGTTGCAGTCTGCCCCATATAAATGGTGGGAGCAAGAATGACACAATACCTGCACTATTATTACACCCAATTTTTGCATTAGTCTTCACCATTCTTCCGGCATATATACCCCCCTGTGCCTTGTACCTCTTCTAATTTGCCAAATCACAATCGAATTTTAATGTTCATTATCTAATGCGTTAATTCTAGGAAATCTGGAATCACATTTGATGGAATTTACCTGGAGCAATGACCCATTTTTTCATATTCGTTAATCCGACCCATATAGCGCCTAGGTGGTAAGCTCATACCATTTTTGGCTACTGCTCGACTCCACTTACGCGTGCATGGTAATATATGCCTTATTATGTGACAGGCATGCTAATATACACAATTCTATTGTTATACTACAGGGGGGGGGACGGTAATATCTCCAAACAAGCCCGACTTATGCATCCACCTAGATTTTCAAGAAGTTAACGTGGAGCTGAAATGACGAATTTTTTAAATGTGGTGTTGGAACGGTAATGGCCAAGCCGCTTTCTGTGAGGTTTCATCGCTAGAGATGGGACTGCCGAAGCATCGTGACAAAGTCTGTGCGCTCGTGTAAAGATATGCTCCGTTCTGTATGCGTTAAAGTGAAAAAGGTATCGACTGAAAGCAAATCTTTAAGGTGAAGACACAGCAAGGCTGGAACTCAACAAAAAAAAATAATCGCCGGTTCTTTTTCGATTTCTTCAATTTTGAAGTCCCCCTGGTGGTGTGTCTTTCATATAACTTTGTGTTATTATGTTTTTTCAGACGCCTGGCATTTGTGATATAATTATTATTGGTATTCAATTTCAAAATCAATTCAGTAAATCAGCTAAAAAGCCTCCTTATTTTTGAACAAGCTTCTTTTACGTACTATAATACAGTGAGATGTCCATGTCTGCACGTCATGTCAGAAAACAGTACACCTCTCCATAACCATCATGTTAATGATAGTGAACGTGATGGTAGCATTCAAACAATGGCTAATAATAAACTATGTCACACATTCCGATTGCAGAACGTTACCCAACATCCAATAATAATAAGGGAATGTACTACAATAAAAAGAGATCAGTGACAAAGCGCAGTAGATTAGCAAAGGTTGCCTACTCTCGCACAATGGCATACGAGGTATAGGAAAGCAAACGCATTTTATAAACATATTCGAAACCTCAGTTTACTTAAGTGTGTCAACCGTTAATCTTTAGTTGTAGGAAGCCGGAAGCTCAATTCCTGTGACTGTTGTAGACACTGACTCGTTGAGTTCTAGCTCAACAAGCAGTGGTTATGTATCAACAGCTTTAAGGCGGAGTTCTTCAAAGTAAAAGCGTCAACAACCCACCTATCATAACTTTAAGGCGGAGTTCTTCAAAAGCGTCAACAACCTGCCTATCACAACTTTAAGACGGAAATTCTTCAAAAGCGTCAGCAACCTGCCTATTACTATCACAACTTTAAGGCGGAAATTCTTCAAAAAAGCGTCAACGACTTGGCTATCACAATTATTTAAGAAGTCGACCTCGATACATGATGACTCGACAATGACTTGGCTCGAAATCGTGAAAACACTTACGGGTAGTTTTAACGGCTTGGCCTCTCGAAAGTTTACACTTGTCCACAACAATCACTCCATTGAAATCTTCTGCGCAAAATAAAGGAACTATTCACGGACATACAATATTCAGAGAATCTTTGCTCGAATACGTTCTTGGAAGTAAAGTCAATGGGGGCGTTAACAACAGTCTGAATTTAATAATGTATTTTCAGAAGAAATAGTTGCTGTTAAACTGAAATGGCAATTACAAATTACGAAAGTATACTGCGTGAGTATCTTAGGTGTCAGTTTCTTGCTGATATGGGACATTTACTTCTCTATGCAAAATTATGAATGAGAAGTTATTGAGTTCAGAAGAAATGTAATTGGCAGAATTAATAAAGTTTCAAGTGTAATCACAATAACAAATATCGTCTCAAAATTGTATGTATCCATGGTTATAAGAACCAGTAGACATTATTCTGTATGTTTAATTTAATAGATGCTATCGCTGTCATAGCGGTAGTATTTCGGACTCGTTATTCCTCAATCCTGGCAGTCGCAAAGTGCTTTGCAACCATGTTTTTACGGATCTCACATTTCCTAATAATTGAACAACGAAAACAGAATCTGACATTACAGTATTACAAATACTGTGACTGTACCAGTTCCTATAGAGAACGACGTGACATTGATGACTATGCGACGAAAATGGGTATTTGCTACAATAATTAGAATTTCCCGATCCGCAATAGCTAGTATAAGACATTGATATAAACATTGACGCGATAACGGTAGGTGATTAGTAACAGGCTAGAAATTTTCATATAGTCTTAAATCAGTCCCGCATAAAGAAAAGAGTAATATATGTAGGAGAAAACTATCAAGAGGTGGAAACATGTCCTTGGGTGTTAGAACAGTTGGAATCCATAACCAGCCAGCAAAATATTGACGTATTAAGACTCAAGATGCAAATTGTCTGGTTAAAAACTTTGCTTTTTTTTTGGGTCTACTTGTCGCTTAGAAATAATGAACACATAAAATAGTACAATTGTTTACTGGAGGATAATAGGAAAATGATTAACCACATTAATCGATCCTTCGCCTTTTTCAGTTACTCAATATGTAGCGTAATGGTATTATTAACATTTAATGTTTTGTTTACAATGTTAACTCACGCACGTTTGATGAAAACCCAGATTACTAAAATCCATTCACTGATCTTTATTAAGCGGTTCGAAACTCTGCAGGAACACCTGCTGCAGGTTTCTGATCCACCGACTGCACATAAGCCTGTAGAATCGGTGAGTAGACGTATTTGTTATTAACCAACTGACGTACTTTCGAATAGGCTTCTCCTGTCGCATACGGTATTCCCGTCTTGGGATCTTTATATTTTGCAGGATGTCCCGTTAATGGACAAATGACTTTTTTGGGTTCTGCAGGTGAAGAATTGTTATCAGCGATCAAGAACCGAAAATTATAACGAAATATTTGATGGTTCAGAGAGCGCAACTTACTTTGTGGTTTTCTCCTCCAGTCCTCAAACATGGTCAATTCTTGTTCTCTCGTAAAATTCGTGAGCACAACTAGATTCCTAGCTTGTCTGGTGTCTATATCTGCTTCTCCAAAGCCATCCTGGCCATCCCACCACTGAACGTCTTTCAACTCCCTAGACACATTCTTTCCGTCACTGTCAGTAGATACTTCGTAAACCAATTTCTTCCTTCTGTGTCGATCATCCCCTTCGATGAACGATATTTCACGTATAAAGGGTCCATTGATCTTCCTCTCTTTAACTGGCCGCGCGGATTTCATGCGCTCGGCCTCCCGCAATTCGAACGCCCGCAGAGATGCCAAGTTTTCTTCTTCGGTCTCCTTAGCAAGCACAAGAAGTTCTTCTTGAGTAGGAGGTTTGGTTATGACTTTTTCGCGTTTTGGCAGTTGGGCCTTGAAAAATAAGACACGTGAGCAAATATTGAGTAAATTATATTGCAATATGCAAGGGAGTACTCACCCGTTTCTCTTCATACTCTTTTAGCTTTTGTTCTAATATCTTTTTATTCTGCACAGTGTGAGTACGTGAAGATGAACGTACACCGCCGAGTAGGGGCGCTGCATTTATTTACAATAAAGCGGCATTAGAACACATTCGGATCGTTGAACTGCCGAATAAATAAAACTGTGATTGCCCATACCAGAAGTCAAGGATGTCTTTCGCTGTTTCTGTGATTCTGTTGAAGAAGATGTGGCTTTTGAGTCTCGGCCAGTTGTAGTCTTATTCGAAACATTTTCACGAGTTTGTTTCGTAGCCCTTTTTTTCCGAGTGACGGCGTTCATAAAAGCCGATGTCGCTTTTCTCTTCCTCTCCTGGCGATGAAATCAACTTAGTTAATCAGCTACATAAATATTTTTAGTAAATATTTTTTTTCTCTCTTTACGTTACTTGTCTCTCCTTCTTTTCCGTTCTCTGCAACTGTTCCTCGGCATCTTCATTATCATTATCCGTGCCGCTGCTCTGATCAAAATCAGAATCGGCAACATCTTCTTCCTCTATTAAGAATAAATTTGAACTAAGTAATTCATATTGTGCTCAATATAGTGCACGAACAAACTCACAATAACTGTTCCCACATCGTTAGGTCAGATCGCATGCCTTGAAGCACTATATAATCTTCATCATTAGCAATTTCCTCAAACATCTTATCGGCTTCCAATTCTTGTTGTAGGAGTTCCCGCATTCTAAGTACGAAGGATTTCGGTTAGACACAATTTTTACGATATAGAGCAGACTTTCGCGAAAATAACCAAAGGTAGAGTTACCTATTACCGGCGTTGGCACGCCGTGCTCTCGTTGCAACAAGCGACATTCTTCAACAGTATAACCACAGTTTTGTTCACTGAGGAAGATCGAAAAGTTATCACACAAACAAATCTTGAAGGAGATGAATTGGTCGTGCCACCAAATATTGCAGTCCCGTGATCTCCAATAAATGACGGAGTGACACAAAATTTTAATAGTAAAACATATAAAGTCTTTTTTTAAAAATCTCTCCTGCTCTTGTGTACTATGTCAAGTGCAATAATTTTTGTGTAGTTCTGAAGCTAATTGATTATGCTTTTCGAGAAAAATAACAATAAAATTTTATAAGTTATCACTATTAAGCTGTA